TTTTTCTGTATTTTGAATTAAAATCTCTAGAAAAGTAGAAAAAAATGTATTGTGGTTGTAAACTTTATTTGTATAGGGTCATTTACTAGTCGTCGTATAAGGTACCGTTTATACAAATCTATAGATAAACGGCTAAGGGTAGGCTGTTTGACCAAACCTCCTAAAATTGAATTTTACAATTATGTATCGTTCGGTATTTATGGCTCAGTGTCGTTCTTACTTTCTTCGGAATTCGACAGTTTTTTTTCAAAAAATAACAAAAAATTGTGTATTTGTAACAGTTTTACACGGTAAAATGGTATTTGGTAAGGTACCCAGCGGTATTTAACGGTATAATGCGGAAATTTCCGTTATCACGCTTATTCTTCTTTATTTTGTTGTTTTTGACCTGGGACCAACATATTTTTATATACTATTATATTATTATACTATTTGTACTGTGATTAAATTAACCCAAGCTCAATAGACACAAGCACACTAACAAACTTACGCGCGCCAGCACACACACACGCAAAATAAATAACTGCGGTATCGGATTGCATTTTTTAAATTATTATTTAATTTTTGCTGCACAGATTAAGACTAAGATTAAGGTTTACGCGATCTAAGGTTTTAGTTCAACTTCAAAGTTTCATTTCTGGATCAACACTGAACTTATGAATTTCTGAATCGCGTTTGTTTGCTTTGTAGAACAATTTTTCCATAAAAAATGCGATTGGAATTCATTATCCCAATTATTGGATTTCGTCATCCAAAGGATTAAAAATTGTGAAATACTCAACGTGCAGAATCTGCAGAGATCGTTTATCAGAACCCGGGTGTGGTCAAGGATTGTTTACCAATTTAGGCGGGAGACAAAGATTGAGATTGTGGCGGAAGTCAAATATTGAGATTGATCACATCTTGGAGATTGTTTAGAACTCGAATAAGAGCTCAATATAATGGGGTACGTTCCAACATCGAAGTTTTTCTTTGAACTAATTTCTTCTAATAAAAATATGCAAACCCTCAATTCCGCTGTGAACCAAACCGACTTTTTATGATCAATTTAGGGCCTTAAAAATGTTTAATATATATTTTTTTTTGGTAGGAGTAGTTTTTTTTAAAGAAATTTTTAAATCTGCACGTCATCATATATTGGATTGGGGAAGCAATCTTTCAATCTTATTTAATTAACGATAGTCAACGCAGTCCCGACTGCTCCCATCCTTTTTCTTGACGACCACTGCCTAGCGAAATCTGATGAGCGTCGTATTATACAATTCATCAATCTGCGGCTTGAGAACGATCTTCAGTATGATCAGCAGCGGCAGTCTGCTTCTTCTTAGTAAAGTCCTGAATCATCGATTGGATTGCATTTCTGTACTGCAAGGGAACGTTTATACCAGTATTTGCTTCGACCACATTGTAAATACTTATCTATTTGCTGTCTACAGTTTTCCTCCCCCGGCAAGGTTACCTCATTGTGAACTTGGATAATGGATGTGTGTAACGCCCAGACGGAAGCGTTTCCGACCCCATAAAGTATATGAATTCTTGATTGCCATCATTGAGCCATCTCTGTCTGTTCGTCCGACCCGGACGGACAAATTTGGTATCCACACTCCTATGGTATTTCACTGTTACAAGTGTATTTCAAAATTTCGCCCCGCCCCTTTCCGCCCCCACACAAAACGAAAGTCTGTGGCATCCATAATTTTGAATATACGAGAAAATCAAAAACGCTAAATCATAGAGAATAACCATATCTACATATCTAACCAGTTTCTTCGCATCCCCCTACACGTTCTGTCGGGTTTTCTATCTCTCTATCGCACAGTCTTTGTCGTTCAATGTTAGCGCCGTCTAGCGGAAAAGAGCCATACTGACTAAGTATCGGGTATAAATTTAAAGTTGCAGCCGTCGCAGCAACTCACAACGTTCCCCCTCGTTTTGTGCTATTTTTTTCAGAGGTTGTGCTTCTTTTTTTCACATAGCATCAGATACTTAATCTTACATTTGGTTGTATGGAACTTTGTAATTATAAAAAGCAGCTAAAAGTCGGACAGTTTTTAGCTTCAGCTAACCGTCTGGAAAATATTATGCTTTTAAATTCAAAATTTTAAATTTTTTGTGGTATATTATTAAAAAATAATTTGGCTTTAAAAACTCGAAAACAATTACTTTCTTCTGCTTTAATAATTTTTCCGTAAAAATACATTAATGGGGCGTCGTTTAAGGTATTGTTACATCTATGGATAAACGGCTAAGGCGCAGCCTTCTTACTACATATTTTAATGACGCATTTTACGGTTTAATTTCAATACTGGAAAACGACCGTTTTTTTAATACCAAAATTTCGTATAGATAACAAATTTTAACGGTAAAATTTCATTTAGAAACGAACTTAATTTAATTAATTTTAGGTCATTTTGCCTATTATTTTTTGTTCTATTTTAATTTAGTTTTAAGAAGTTAATTTTTCTTATTCTAATGTAAGGTGTGCTCTTAACTGCTTTTTGAACTGTGAAAGGTTATTTCTCTTTATCATGTGATGCTATTCTATTTGCGAATGGCATTGACGAAGAAATGCCTCGCGGAATTGTGAGTTTTATGCCGAATGATAATATTATTTGTTCTGTCGGAATTAGAAAATCCAAGATTTTGGTGCATTTATTCGGGTTGTTTGGTGAATAGTATCTAATGTAGTACGCTAGCATCTTATAGTCAATCCATTTGAAAAGATTCGTTTCGTATATTTTGAATGAGAATGCTAAGATTCGATCATTTAGCCTTAATCCGAATAGATATCTACCTATATTATAAAAGCACACGCTTAGCTTTTGCCTGTTTGGGTAGCCACAGTAGCCGCATACGAATGTTCAATGGTATAGTTCGTTTGGTAATGTTGAGTGATCTTAAGATCCAATACGTTTTCCCAGTCTTTACTCACGTGATCATCAAACCTTCTCTACGTAGCTCATGGGATTATTTGAAACTTCCACGCATAGATAATCAAACATTTTGCCATGGTTGGATCTAGGCATAGACGATTGTTGGCTGCCCATGCACTAATCTTCTCGATTGCTAACATTGATACACCAGCAGGTCAATTACATAAATAAAGAACAATAACGAACCAAGTACTGGTCCGACATTTTAGCTTCAGCGACAACAGCCTGGCTCCTATTTAGGAACTAAGACGATAGCAACGGTACTGCTGAGTCAGAGAAATTATATTATCTGCAAATCCTTGCACTGAGGATACCATGGTCAAGTGAGTCAAAGCCAAAGTTCAAATGTATGCACTGTGGGAAAGCGCTTTGATAGGGTCAGTAGAATGGATATTGTTCTGTAATCTTGGGAGTTTGCTTTTGACCTAGTTCTACTTTTCAGGCAGCATTGACATAGTAATGGTTATGTTGAAAATGTGGGTAGCTTGCGCTATAGTTCGGGGGAGAATTATTCTTAGGAATTTCAGGCCAATTGGATTCGATTTAATCTTAAGAAGGGATTTATAGGACGTCACAAGGTCTAACACAACAGAAACTAAAGCTACGAAAAGTAGTTGAATAAGAAACTGATTTCAAGTTCAGTGCTGGGGGAAAGCCTGGTACAACTAATTTCACAAAATTTGTAATTACTTCATTAACGTTCATGTCAAATTTAGAGTAGTTTATTGTTAATTTCTCTATTCCAATATTTTTAATTATTTGCCATTTTTCCTTGAGGTATACAGCGTTGTTAAACTTTGACGTGTACGAGTAGAGGGCGGTCTTCGCAGGGTTGATTAGCTTTGTTGCATTTGATCTTAACGATTTGTACATATTAAAATGAATTTCAGTCCTGTACCTTTTAAACTTTTTGAAGGGTTCACTTCGTCTAGTGATACCCATTTTTACCTGACAACTGGCCGACGGCATATAATAGACGGAAATTTTCATGTCTTACATAGTTTCAGTTTTTTTCTGAGAATACATATTTCGTTTATTGTTAAACTATATACATATAACAGTAACGACTGTACAAGAAAAAGTTATCAGAATTATATGGCCAGAAAATGCTACATTTTGAAATTGGAGAGGCAATTTTAGCCTGTCTAAAAGGCAACCCTCGTATACTGACTCAGTATCGGGTGGTGTAATGTCGCGCCTAATTGTTCGCCTAATTTTAGACAAAATAATTTTATAAGAAGTCTACGCAAAAAATTTTGCCAGTCTTAATGAAAATGTATTAATTTACCGGATAAAACTACGTATCTGTAAAAAATAAGGATGTACTTATGGGTATATAGTATGGGAGGTATACTGATTGGTATTTCCAGACCTAAAACATGTTGTTCGGCCGCATATGGTCTGCATGCTGTACGGTCTTACCACATCGCGGGCTTGCGTGTATGTCAACAGCACTCCCACGTGCGGCCACCTCTTTTGCATCGCGCCGTTTCTCAAGCTGCCCAAATGGCAATTCAGTCAATGACAGAGCATAAAAGATACCTGTGCGTGTATGCGGTGAAGTGGTGGGCAGGGCCAGGGGCAATGGCAGGGGCCGGAAAGAAAATCTTCTCTATTCAACTATGAGTGAAACCTATTTTCCTGAGGTCATGCATGGTATCTGCATGCATTCTCACATACCTTCCAGATACATATGTACATATGTATAGTATCTATATATGAATACGTGTATGTATGCATATGTGCTATCACATACGAATAGATATATTCGCATTGAAGGAGACCCAAAGTGGAAGTCAATTCAACCAGCTTACCTTTATTTAAAGGAAAAAGAACACACACGCTCACACATATTTTTTGTTCGAAATGTACTTGAGCAGGGCCACCACTAGTCCATGCCCACTGCTCTGACCTTTTCTATGTTATTTTATTGTGGGGCATTCGTGTGTACGGAGGCCCGTTTTCCTGCAAACCACCTGAACAATTCCAATGGGGTACTTTCTGTCTCTTTCTCTTGCTTTTTTCTATACCGTACTCAATTCTTGCTTATTTTTCTTGCTTTTGCAGATTTCAATTTTCAAGAAGAGGCCTCCATACCGGAGGACATATTTGACCAGCACGATGGCGACATTGAAGTTACCGACTCCCAGCTGCATTATGCCCCAGCCGCCCTAGCTTCCCCAGCCGCCACTGATGCAACCGCTGGCGACGATGATGAAGCCAGAGATGCTGAAGATGCGATCGAGGCTGTGTGGAGCGATGTGGATGGTTCACCCCTATGGTATGAGGACCAGAACGAGGACGAGGCAGCCGATATAGTAAGTATACACACCCATACATACCCGTGTGTAAATATAAATATAGTACATACCTACTTGTAAGTACATACACATAGAGTGCCTGAGGCCCGAGCCAAGTCCGTTGCGAATGAGGTCAGTTCTGTTGTACCAGTGTACCAGTCCATTGAAATGTCGCAAAATGTCGGCCAAGTCAAATTACTATTCTAACTAGGCGGCGAAGAGGAAGAGGGCTACGGCCACAATGCTGAATATCTGCATTAAAATTCACTTGAGAAAAAATGAGTCGATACCAGCGCCATTCACTTCAAACCATTTTTGAGCCCAATATTTAGACACAGGCAGTAAGGAAGCTCACTTCAGAGACCCAAAGTTGATATATTAGATATAAATATGACGACCAGTAAGTCTACATTCTTCAGTCTGTTATGCTTCACAGAATTAATACGAATGAAGGCCACAATACATAAAAAGTAGCGCATTAAGAAAATGAATAGCTTAAAGTTTCGCTTCGCCTTTTTAATTCAAATTACTCGTATGCTGTTCATCAGACAAAAGGAAAAGGGGAAGACAAAATACAAAAGAGATTAAACAAATAAATGGAGCACCGGAGATGATAATTATAGCGCACGACCCTCCTAATCATTAGGCTAAACATCACGGTTTGCAGACACTTGAGGGAGTCGCAGCAAGACATAGAGATATGTAGATATGGTCAAAGGAAATAAAACTATACGTAATTGTATTGTTAACTGCACGTGTGCTCGCTTCCATCTTTTTGCGTTTGTTTCCAGCATTTTTATCTATGTAATATGTAATTGTCATATATTTGCAGATACTTGAATCGCAAAGGCCCACTACGAAAAACTGTACTGCTTACCTAGACGCAAAAGAAATGTTCATAAAGTACCAGAATGGTAACAGCAAGAAGAAGTTTTCGGAACAGAAGCAAAATAAAGGTAACTACATGTACAAATTGGTGAACAATAAGGAGAGCCAGCCGCCGAAAAGATTACCCGATGAAAATGAAGGGGCAGCACAAGAAGCCGTGGCCGGGACAGAAAGTGCAGTAAAATTTGTTTTCGCCAAGGAGGCAGTGACTGAGTCGAGCCAGGACAACGCTAACTTTGACAGGAAAAGTTTAAGGTATACAAAATTTAAGAAAATGCATGAACAGGAAAATCAACAGCCGGAGAAGCAACACGAAGAACAGGACCCCAAGCCGCAGGACCGCCAGGAGCAGGCTCACGGTCCAGACAGGGCCAAGTGGCAAGGTGGTGAGATGGGGGAGAGGAGAGGCCGAGAGGAACAGCTGTTTGATTCTATAGAAATATTAAATGAACGAAAATTTAATAAACCATCAGGCCAATTAACATTGGAACCGGAGCAGGAAAAACATAATCGAGACAACAAAAAAGGGAAAGAGATAGTCAAGATAGTGAGAGAGGATGAGGAAGCAATCGGCGACATTGAAAACAATTTTGATAATGATAAAATACTGGAGGACGAAGGCATCCAGTTTTCAATTGACATTGACGAATCATCCAAAAAACCCCCACCAGTACCAACAACTTCCACAAAAATAACACCCACAGCCAGCAGGGAGACTAGTAAGGACTGTGAAGCCACAATGTCACCGACCATAGCAATGATTGGTCGCAAAGAAAAGCGTGGATTTTTCCGCATGTATAGGCCAGATATCATGGCTAAATATTTTGAAAAGTTCGAGGAGCTTGACAATGCAAGGGAAAATGTTGAGACGAGTGCTGATGACGACGACATCCTTGGTTCCCCTGTTGGGGAGCTGCACTACTTCGACAACGGTGGTAAGCATCAGAAGCAACCAGCAGAAAAGGGATTGATGATGGACCCGACTCAGGTCCCATTACGGGCCAGTTATTTAAGTAGCTCCTTTGGTCTGCCAGAAAATGGAAAGCAACAGCATCAAGAATCAAGTTTCGCTGACGATCAGACCTCGGAGCAGCCCCCCCCTCTGGAACCACAGCAGGACAGTCTTGGAAGTCTGGAGATGAAAAGAAGCCAATCGGAAACTTATATGGAATCTGCATTGCAGCCGTTTCAGGGTAAGTCGAAAAATTTGGACAAACAAAAAAAAAGCAAACCAGTTGAAACTTTTAAATTGTGACAGACATCTACCAAAATAAGGTTTCAAATATGTTAGGCATATAAAAAAAAAGATAAATGTAAATTTCATGTAGTACCTGATTTTACCTGTTTTTACTTAAATTTAAATACAAGTATAAAGAAAATCAGCAATGCATCCCCACAGAGAGGGGGATAAGACTGTTGGCCGGGAAGTCTCTTTAAAAGGACTGAGAATGCTTGAGACGGGCTGCATAGGAGGAGTTTTGGGTTCGGTACTTTCCTAATTAGTTTGGGCAAAAAGTTTCCGCAACATTTTTTTGCAGTTTCCTTTTGCTTTTTTTCCTAAATAGGAAAGAAGTCGCGGCTACGGCCGCGGCTTTATTTTATACCGGGAACTCAGTTAGTATGTGAGCTGATGATTTATTAAATTTATGTAATATGTTTTATACGTCGCTTTCAAAAAAAAAAAAAAAAATTCATAAGAATATGTTGAACCGTGTGAACGTCTCGGTTGTATTCAATAAAACCCGACAGCTTTCGCGAATACGCATTGGAAACCGTATTCTTAAACAAGAATATCGATGGTTTTACATGCTCTGCTCTGTACACAAAATATGCAATCATGGAGCCGATATAATGATATAATAGAAAGTATACCACTTCCGACTAGAATGATGTCGGAAGAAGCCTTGGGAGTAAGCAACAACAATTTACGCAATTTTCGGCTTCAACATACTCGAAAAAATTCGCGACTAAGTTCGATGGAGGTTCTGATGAACTAGTTTTTTGGATTCTTCAGATCCAGTAATACTTATACAAAAGGTCAATAAGTAAAAACAGCACGGCCATTTTCTTTGACAAGGAAGCCCAAAATCTACTATCGGATTACCCCGAAGAATCAGAAGACTACGATTCGGCTTCCAAAAACTAAAATTTTGTTCACAAATATGTAATGTAAAAGGAATTATTTAAAACCGAGGGGGAACCGCAACTCTATAGTTATACCCGATACTAAGTCAGTATGGCTCTCCTCCGGCAGACGCCTCTAATATTGAACGACACGAAATATTTTGGTATTTTTATAGGCATGATTTCCTTTACTATTACGTACATATATCCTACATGAGAGATGATTCCTTATGAAATGTTTACCTCAAAGTCCTGCTAAAACATATATTGAAGTTTTTCGGACAACTATTATAAAGGTGAATACTTTTTCACTGACTTGAATATGCTTTTGAAAAAAAGGTTTTTGGTGTTTCTTTAGCTAATTTAATGGTTTACTTCGTTGAATAAGCTTTTTCTTGAAAAACATACCAAGATTATCAGCCAGGCTCCGTTTTTCACATTCACAAAAGTTTTCCGATTTACTTTTGAAATCACATAAATTGGGGCTCTCTTTTTCCCATTCCGCAAGATTTCTTCGTTTTCAAAACGAAAACATTTTCGTTGACGAAATGAAAAGTAAACGGCTTTTTATACAACAAAACGAACCTTAATTGCAAAAGGAAAAAAATAGATGACTTATTGATGCATTAACATAAACTTGATACCTATATCAGGGTAATTTAACTTGTGCTTTCTTTATAAATAATTTTATTTTAACCCAACCTAAAATTTGGCTCGGAAAAATTGGCCACAGCAACAACAAATTTCGTTTTGGTGTAAGCAGCTGACGCATTCCGATTTGGTTATCGGAACGTTGGCAATTAATAAATTTTTGCGTATAACAGCACAAATGTGCATGTAACAGCTCAGACTGTGCTTGTAACATGTGCTTAACAGAACATCTGGGTGAGCACAGCTGTTTCCCGCCCAATTTAATTCGGACTTCAAAATGTAACATATCGATAAAAAAAATATGTGAAAAATGGAACACCTTAAAACGAAAACGAAACGTTTTGGCTGAAAACGTAATCCGCAAAAGTAAATGAAAAACGGACCCTGCCTGATTATAAACATTTGTAAATTTTTGTACATTTGTACATATGTATCTATTTATGTAGGCAGTATCTATTTTGGGAATGTTTGAAACTTCTGGTCTGAATTTTGACCCCTATGTATGTGCTTCGGAGAGTACAATAAGATATTGTACCATTCCTTAATATAAAGAAATCTGCAGCATGCCGGGACTAATAGTTTTCTTGTTTTTCTCCATTCACAGAGACGGTTCCGACTACAACCATAACGCCAACCTCTTCGACACCTTCCTCTGCTTTTGAGCGATTCAAGGCTTTGCGGCGCAGCCATCAGAAGACTGGCCACAAGAGCCACAAAAAGCGATACAAGGATTACCTAAAACGGCATCACCAGCCAGAACCAGGAACAGTAAAACAACCACCACCCCCGAGTCTCGCACCCCGTCATGTCCAGAAGCTGCTCCACGAACAAGTGCGAGAGCGGGAGCGATCCCTCTCAGCTCCCATATTCGCCTTAGGTATGCGGCCCCGCTCATCTCTGTCCACTGATAAACCCTTCTATGAGGGACGCGTACACTACTACGACCACCCCCGACTCGGCATGGAGCAAGACCAGGAGCAACAGCAGACCACAGAGATGGAGCGCCTAATAGCCCACGACAATGACAACTGGTACCGTCGTATAAGTCCCGTTCTCCGCAATGGCATCAAAGGTGGCCAGGGCGAGCAGCATCCGTATCAGCAAAAGCACCAGCATTACCAAAGTGTTAAAGGACATCAACAACACCATCATCATCAGCACCAGTACCAGCACCACCATCACAACAACCACAATAACCACAACAACCAAAACAGGCAAAACCACCACCAGCACTCCTACCAGAAACCGGGTCAACTGCGTCAGAGGCTGAGCAGTCCCTACCAGCGCAAGGCACCAGCAGCGTCATGGGCAGGTTCGGTGGAAGGTTCTCCGAGCAGTTCCTTGCCTACTCCACCACTGCCACCGCCCACCCAGCAGCTAGGACACCAGATCACCGAACTGGAGCACCTCGAACGCTACTACGCCAAGTGGCCGCATCTGGCACGGGTCCAGTTCCAGCTGTACGATGAGCAACGCAAGTCTCAGCAGCATCCACAGCTGTATGGCGACTACGAGGACGACTACGAGACTGCAGCCGAGCTGGAAGAGGCCCAGGAAGAGCATGGCGAGGAGGCCAACCTGCCGCCGTATATCAAGAAGTACAATCGGCGCAACAAACAGTTGCTCAACCTGCTCGAGGGCACCCTACCACCACCATCGAACCCCTCCGGTAACTCCGTTTGGAGCGGATCCGTGTCGAAGGCTGGAACACCTGTCACAACACCGGTGCGTCTGGACGATGAATATTTGAAGCAGAAGCGGCGACGCTACCATCAGCAGCACCGTTTCGAGGACTTGTTTGCCGAGCAGCGCAACGGCTTCATTGCCACAGAATCCCAAGAAACAACCACGATTACAGCGCCTACATCAGTCACAGAAGAAACATCAGCCACGTTAGCAGAGCTTCCCAGCAATCAACTGCCTGACGACGACGGGTATGTGCACATCGATGGAAATCGGCAGAAGACGCGTCTAACCGCATCCGTTGACTTCTGGCAGAAGGAAATGGCCAACAAAGCACCTCGCCCTCGGCCTTCCTTCACTCCGCAATCAGCTGTGACTACTCCCAAGCCCGCCCTGTTTAAATTGCCCTCGTATCCAGCCATAGCAAGCAGTTTCCTGGGAGCTCCGAGAAGCCGCAGCCGAAGCACACAGTTCGTGGCCAATGTGGCGGGTCGTGGACAGAGCAGCAGTCTGCCACACCACGACACCTCCAATAAAATAGGCGATGGAGCCAAGGGCACTGGTGAAGGAGTAGCGGAAGCTGCAGCATCGCCGCTCAACTCCTTTGCATATCATCGCGTCGTCGATGGAATCGGCGGCAACTCGGTGCTATCCAGTGGTGTCGGCACAAGCGGCGCCAACAGTCACAAGCAGTCTCGGCTTCCCTTTGTAGCCATTACTGATCGGAGACTTGAGACGATGGTCAGCAAGAGGACGCTAGCAGAGCGACACAAAGACTTTGAGCAGAATCATTTTCCAATGCCTTAAGCCCCGACCTCAAAGTGAGAGCGTCGGAGTGGTTCAGGTGCGGAGGGAGAGCAAGAATAAGTAATGACGGGCTGATGAGGGCTGGAAATGAGATGGGTATTGGGTCGATTAGGAAACACTAGCTTCAATTTTCTACTGTTTCAAGCACGATTGAAATTTGTAATATTTAAACTATTTGCAACCACCTAAGTCCGGGTGCATACCCATAATAAAAACTATTTCAGTGTTTCGTGCTTACTGTAAAGGTTTTCAATCACATATAGATTTTAAAAATATTAATTTTTAAAGCAGCATTTTCAAGATCCAGCCAAGACCGATTTAGGCAGATGTATTTCAGATTGAATGAACCGATTTAAGCCGATTGAGCAAAAAGGCATCATTAAATATTTTTCGAGTACGATTCCACAGCTTTTTCGTGGGTCAAGTCCTCATATCCAGCCTTATTTTCAGCCATGGGTCGTAACATAAATATAGAACTATAATATTGTAGTCGCCGCTTTCGGATGGTTTTTTGTGTTTTATACTCACAAAATCACGAATACTCCATATTCTTGTACATGTGTCTGAAAGAGGAGAACCAGAGAATCAAAGGATTTAGAAATAATTGTCAGAGAACTTTTTGTGGTGGTAGATATATAAAAACAAGAAACCATAAATGTTATAGGAAGGTAAAAAATGAAAGTAAAAATTCTACAAAAATATGTAACTATATGTGAGCAAAGAATTTTTTTTGTAAAAATAGGAAATATCACCAAATTCTGTAGACACATGCACATACACACACACACACACACTCTAAGAGCTGTTAGAAATCAAAAAGTGATATCCAAAATTTAATTTTTTTCAATGAAATGAACAAGAATCTTGAATAATTTGGTCGAAAACTCGCCTTTCCACGCACAACACTTACGCAAACATATGGCGAACGCTCCCTTCTCCCTACTGCACGCAAACCATACAAATAGGTTTCAAAATTGAACAAAAAACTAAATTTGCATTAAAAATGGTGTTATACAGAATTTTAAAGATACGAGTACATATGTATTTTATTATCCAGAGAAAAGATAAATTTTAGAAGTCAATAGCAAGGCGAACGAAACAACACTGAAAACATATCACTAAAAGGAATAGGCAGTTATTAATTATACATCAAGATTTTGCTTCGGATTAATAAATCGCTTTGAAAATAAATAAAGATTTTTCAAGATTTAAGAAATTCTGGGAGGCGAGCAATATCAAGAACGATTTAGCAGGCTCGTTGTTAAATAGTTCCTGCATGGTACTGCCAGCCACCGTTGCCATCAACGACGCGTAACTTTAAACTCTAACTAGGTTCAAATATTCATCAGTAATCGTTTTGTATAACGTGTTCGTGCTAAAAATGTTTAACATAAGTAAGATCCGATTCCATCATCATCGCTCGAAGCATTGCATAACATTCTTCGACGACAAACCAAACAAGAAATAACCTTAACCAACTTAAATAGCGATATTGATTTGCTAATTTTATACTTCCTTCCATTTTCTGAAACCATTTAAACTGAAATTGTTGCGAAACGCATTGACATTGGTGTATCTGGTATTTGTCTACCGTCTCCCAACAATTTTAGCACCAAAATCGATTATGAATCGTTGAATCGGTATTGAAGCGGTAAAACCATTGTATAATATTTTGAGCAATACTCGCTTCAGAGTATTCGCTTCAATCGGAGTTTTAGTCGAAGAAATTATTCTCGACGAAAAATTATGTATTTATCGGTCTGAAGCAAACATCTTACCATCACACCGTTAAGAAAACAAACAATAAATATTCAAACAGAACAATAACCCGAAATAAAATAAAACTAAAATATAAGAAAAGAAAATATAGTACGTTATTTTGCGTGGGAAAAAAGTGAAAATCCATAAGTAGTGTGAACACATCCTAAAGACTTATCCGAGTTACGAGCTTACGCACACACAGAGACAGAAGCAAAGGTTGCGACCAGAAATAGAAATTTCATAGGCAAATACATACAAGAGTAGCGAGAAGAATGCCACGATTGGGATAGGCCAGGAGAAGATGATTAGACGGGAAGGTCAGGGCGAGGTCAGAGCTCAGAGGTGGGGCTGTGTAGTTAATTAACATATCAAGAGCGATGCGCGAGCAGAGTAATGACCGAAAGGGAAAAGCAAGCATAATTAAGATCACCTGCAAAACTTCACGGCATATACATAAATATTCTTTATGAATAATTTTATGTTATTTTGCTGTTCTTACATAGCTTGGGGAAAGGAGGAAGGCCTTATTGAAAATATTCATACTCGTTAAATAAGCTAGTTTCCCGTTTTAAGGCAGTTAAGCCCGAAAAACATCGTCTCGTCTATGATAGAATTTTATAAAAGGATATCAGAATAGCTCCTGTAATCTATTCCAATACAGGCAGCGAATAAAAGTGATTACTTTTAGGCGAAAAGCGTGTTTGAATAATGCGTAGTCAAGCCAGACTATAATCTCGATATGTTTGAGGCTTACTAAAAATTGAGAAAACGCCTTAATTTTGGAACTGTTGTCGTTTTTAATAAATGCTCTGTTCTTTCATATTTTCATATTTTATTGTAGTAAAAATTAGTTGAAAAGTGATTTAGAGGAAAGAGAACAAAAATACCTTAAAAGGTTCAAGTATCAGAGAAAAAAGCATAGAATCAAAAAAACCTCTAGGGCCTCCTTACCCCTTCACCCACAACATACACATACACACACACACACACACATACACATTAAGTGGTAGCATTTTAATGGAATGAAATTTAATAAAGCAAACATATATTATTTACGCATAAATATGGGTGAAGTTTTTCCTTTTCCTGAAGTAAACAGACCTTTAACGAGTGGCAGTCGCCGACCTTTGAGTACATAAATCATTCAGGAGTTGAATTTTGAAGCAGGAACGTCACAGACAATCAAACGCGCATTTAAATATGGCAAAAGCTATAATTGACCAGTCATTTTTATACCAGGTACTCCAAGAGTAATACTCCCATTCGTTAGAATTTTCGGTACATCGACTCAAAAGATCCAGCTCTACTGGTGCTGGAAGATTTCCCAAAACTTCTCAATGTATCGATAGCCACCACAAGCACGGAGAGGGACATGTTTCCAGTCGCACAAGGGCTCGGCGTTCAAACACGTTGTAGCACTGAGCAACTGCGGTAGTACCATAAGTTGTGCCGAGCAGGGTCACTTGTGACGCACTTTAAGGAGTGTCCATTGTCGAGCTGAGCATAAAATACACCGACTTCATCAAATAATCATCAAGCGTACCCCTCAGTGTCTTGATGCCATTAACTACTCCCTGTTTCCGAGTGAATCGCAGACGGACTTCATTTGGGTTGCATGCACCTTAAAGCTCCTGGCGCACGGCAGGATGTGAAGACGCGCTAAGGGAGCTCGGAACGATTGCTCACAGGATTTAGATCTTCTAGGGCAGCTTCGAGGTCTTAGACTATTGTTCGTCTTACTGCTATACTGCACTTGCCCGAGAGATCGTATATACAATACAATGAGTTGCTGCTGCTGCTGCGCAACTCTACATTTATCGGGTCCATACGAGGGCTGCTATTTATATTTCGGGAATAGGAAATAAGAACAACAATTTTTAAATGAAAATGGTTTTATTGTTTTTTAATTGTTTTGCATTCGCTTGAACCATTGGTCATAGCAGTTTTTCCACTCCTCTTGAGACACCTCCAAAACATGGTTTTTAAACTCTTCAACTGCTTCTTCGGCGCTCGTAAAACGTTGACCACGCAGTTTTTTTTTGATGTTAGGGAATAAAAAGAAGTCATTGGGTGCCAAGTCAGGACTGTAGGGAGGATGAGTCATCAATTCGACGTTTTGACTGCTTAAAAATTCACCTGTTTGTCGAGATGTGTGCGAGCTCGCATTGTCATGATGGTTTTGCGAATTTCTCCGAAGACCTCCGGCAAACAAATGGTCGTGTACCACTCAGAATTGACAGTCCTACGTTTCTCTAGCGGAACAGTGGCCACATGACCCATTCTCCCGAAGAAACAGGCGACCATTTGCTTCGAAGTGCTTCGTGCTCGAACAACTTTTGTTGGATTTTGCTCATCTTGAAACACCCACACGGTCGATTGCTGTTTAGTTTCCTCATACGCATATATCCATGATTCATCACCTGTCACGATTTTATGAACATCTTTTGAAGCACCTCGGTCGAACTTTTTAAGCATTTTCTTACTCCAATCGACGCGAGCCTTTTTTTGAGCGATTGATAAGTTATGGGGTATCCAACGAGAGCAAACCCTTTTTACAACTAAGTGTTCATGTAAAATGAAATGTATTGAAGTGGAACTAATGTGCAAGGATGCCTCTATCTCACGATATGTCACATGTCGATCTTGCACTATCAGTTCACGCACACCATCGATGTTTTGTGGCACATCAACCGATTTTGGGCGACCTTCACGGAATTCGTCAGCGACTGAACTACGACCACTATTAAACTCTGCAAACCAGCGATAAACTGTCGTTTTTGATGGTGCTTTCTCGGCATATAAAGAACTAAGTTCATCAACACATTCTTGTTGGGATAATCCACGTCGAAAGTTGTGAAAAATAATCCAACGAAAACCCTCTCGCGAAATTTCCATTTTTTTGCTAAATTGATTTTTTTAACTGATCGTGAACACAACAAAAACCAATTGTACATAAAAACGTTGTACGTACATATATGCTAAAAAATGACAAAGTTTATTATGGCGTTGCCAGATTTTACGTATTGGCTTTAGTATTGCCCATTCCCGAAATATAAATAGCAACCCTCGTAATCCGTATGGCTGCATTGAGCGACAATGTGTGCGTGCGGGAGAGCGGGAGAAAACGTGTCTGAACATGTCGATCCGATGTTCAAATGATCTGATCTGATCCAGACTCTGCAGTCTGGTAGATTTAGTCATTCTTTATGATTGTGTGTTTTTACTTTTCTCGTATCTTCAATATTGTGGATGCCACAGATTTTCGTCCTTTGTGGGTGCCGAAGTTTTAAAATATACTTGTAACATTGTAATATCACATAAGTACATAAGATATAAAATGTCGGACGGACGGACAGACGGTTAGACAGACAGGGCTCAATCGACTCGGCTATTGATGCTGATCAGGAATATATATACTTTATAGGGTCGGAAACGATTCCTTCTGGACGGTCACACTTATCCATTTTCACCACAAATATAATATAAAGATAAAGATAATCAACCGTGACATTCGCTTTTTACACAAAAGCGGAAAGCATTCAATCCGAAGCGTACGACCATGTGATTCGGGCCATTATCGGTGACTGTCATGCCAAGCCACTTGTCGTGATGGTGATCATTTCCCAGCGTCCACCGTGCTCTGCCACCATAGCCGAGTAGGGCATGGGCAAGCTGGACTACTATTTTGAGGAGTATTCCGGCTGGAGTCTAAGCCGCGAGGAGCTGAAGCGCTCCTTCGATGAGGCCAAGAGGTCGTGCAATACATGCGCTCTGGTCGTCATCAATCCGGGCAATCCCACCGGTCAAGTGCTAACCTGCGATAACAATGATAACGGACTGATTCTGCTGTCCGATGAGGTGTACCAGGACAACGTTTACGACAAGAACTCCAAGTTCTACTCTGGTCGCCTACGAGATGGGTGAGCCCTACTGCAGCCAATATCTGGTCAGCTTCCCTTCCACATCAAAGGGTTTCCTCGGCGAGTGCGGCATTCGTGGCGGGTGAATGGGTGAACGGCTGCCCTCTGCAGCACCACCGCCGGTCAGGTGGCCGTCAGTGCTCTGGTTAATCCACCCAGGACCGGCGAGCCCTCCTACGATCTATTTCAAAAAGAGAAGAGCGCCACCCTAGTGGCCGTCAAGGAGCGCGCAGAGCTTGTCCACAAGACGCTCAGCAGTTTCGAGGGCTACAAGGTGAACCCCGTCCAGAGGCCAATGCACGTGTTTCCCCAGATCGAGATCCCACCCAAAACGATCCCGGTAGCCAAGGCCAGGGGCATGGCTCCCAATGCGTTCTACGCATTCGAGGTCCTCGAGAGGAGCGGTAGCTGTAGCGGATTCGGGCAAAAGCCCAAAACCCGCCAACTATCACTTCCGCAGCACGATCCTGCCGCAGGCGGACAGGCTGAAACTGATGATAGAGTTCAATTTTATGAAGAAGTACAAATAGATGGAGATGGACACACTGCTTGCAGCCCTTCCTTAGACCCTTGCTCCGCCTGCCGCGTGCCTATGTTAAGAGCTGTATTAGTCCACTTCGAATGCCCTCAAAGTCCACTTCGAATGACACCTGACTTGGGGACTACACATCAAAGCCACTGTCGTTAATGGTCAAAATAAGCTTAAAAGGTTTCATTGGATTTTAAACTAAAAACTAAACTAAAAGTTTCTCCCATGAACCAAAGGCAATAATAAAGGCCATAGGTCACACGCCGTTCAAACCTGGGAATGTGCCGCGAAAACGCATCTCAGCAAAATAAGAATTTTACAAGCGAAGACCTTAAGGGCAATTGCAGGTGGTGCTCCATCTTTGGTTGGGACCACTGTGTTAGAGAGATCCCTACAACCCTAAAGTGGGGATAAAATAAACCACCACAGTAGTCGCTATAATCATAGGTTGTATAATCACCCAAATGAATCAGTAAAGATTTACTTAGCCCTCACATCCCACGAAGACTACTACTAAAGCGACTAAAGCATTCAAGCAATAAAAAGTATAGAAAAATTTGCGGGTGTATAAGGGAGTATGTGTGTGACAGAGCCATCTGTGTGGACCATTTGCGGTGAGGGAGGGACAATGAGGTATTTTTTGACCGCAATTTCGAGTAAAAGAACTCTATCAAAAGCACATTTAAATGCACGATAGTCGAGATGGGAGATTCAAGCGATGCGGGAAAGAGGGAGTGACCGTGGGAGAGAAAGAGTCCAACAAACAAACAACGTAATTAATTTGTCAAAAATTCAGATGCTCACCGGCCTTGAAAGAAATGGGAGAGGGAGAAAAAAAAACTCAAAAGGAAAACAAACAAAATGCGACGGCAGCTCCTTTCTTAGCCGTTTCTCCGCTTCACCGTTTTGCTGACTACGTGCCCAGCTTACGGTTCTATTAAAATTTCAATTAAATATTTTTCAGTTCCCTCTTTTTTTCTTTCTCTTTTCTCGCTATCTCAGAAAGACCCCCGACGGATTTGGCTATAGTACCTAAGTGCTTTAATTATTGCTTGTATAATTATTATAATTAAGATTTTGAGTGAGGCCCTCCAGGGAGTTAGAGGCCCCCCTTGCCCGGTTGTACTCTAGAAAGGTAGAGTGCGGGAAACTCACGCGAACATGTCGCACGCAAGTGCTTAAATTTTGAAAATACTTGCATGGTACCATGGATGCGTGTACGACAGGGGGCAGCAGAGGGGCCGGTTACATGATTCCGCAAAATATCCAGCAAAATATGCGAAATATACAAGATAGGCAGAAACAGCGACAGCAGCACAGACAAAGTCGAAGACTAGGACGGACAGAGGCAGAGACATACATGTATCACAAATCTATGTACATATGGTGTATATGTAAGTATGTACAAACCTGTATGCACGGGTTCGGTGAGAGCGACACTGCAGGCAACATTTGGTACGACACACGCTGACTCCGCCAGCGCGCTGCAGCGATTCGCGTCGCAAGCAACCACCTCATTGGTCGGCGCGTGCAGGCCGCAAAAATTCCTTAAGACGTTGCTGGCTGCTGCTCGCGCTCTCTATAAAACTCACTCTGCCTGTGGCTACAGTTGGTGCTGCTGTCGTTTTGCAATGTCTCTATTATCAGTCTGGTTCCAGCTAAACACATGCATAAGTACTTACGTGTCTGCTTTAGTCTGAGCCGCTGCTCCTGAGGCGCTGATACCTTGTAACCGCATTAGCAGGCTGCGAGCATGTGTGGTCTGCGATCGTAGCATGCTTTTTAGGGCTTTGCCCCGTCTCAACAGTATTTAACGAGGATGCTTCCGCAAACTCTATACAAAACTTTGGTAAAAAGGACATCTGTATGCCCAGTACTCTTTCGAATTGGCTGAGTCTGCTGCTGGTCTCGCTGGGCTTGTTCATGTTGCTCGTAAATTGAATTGAAATTATTTGCCAAATCTGTAGGGACGCACAGTGGCAATTTCAGCTTGCTAAATTATTAACTTCTGAACGAAATAAGATATTTTCATGAAATAAACTGAATTTGAAAAATATATTATCATAAATGGTGCTACCATGTCTAGAGCCTTTACAATGAATCGGCAAAGTTAAACTTTGTTGCTCGTGGATATTTGCATATGAAAAAGAGAGTGTTAAAGTTATTTTATTTGTAAGACAGCAGAATATCAGTATACAGAATTATATGTGCTTCCGAGTAACATTCGCAAGAGAGACAGACGCCGAAAGAAGAACATCGATATGAGAACATCGATATGCAGCAGGGCACATGCGCAGTGTTGTTACAGATCAATATCTAATTATCGTGGCGGTCACTTTGAACACTCCTCCTCAACACAACGCATGTTTACAAACTTTAAATATACTTAACTAATATTCCATAACATGTCAAGCACTTATAAACGATCTTTTAAACCAAATGCGAATACAAATTTATGGTGCTTAACCTTGGCTAAGTTCTTTGTGAGGACATCTGCTATCATCTCATCGGTTGGCAGATACGCAATGTTGACTTCACCTCTCTTGAGAACCTCTCGAATGTGATGTATCTTGACGTCGATGTGCTTTGAACGTGCATGAAACATGGGGTTTCTAGCAAGATGCTGTGCTCCAATGTTGTCGCCGTACATCTGAATAGCTGACTCCTTGGACATCAGCTTCAAGTCAATCAGTAGGCTGCGAAAGTATATCGCCTCTTTTGCTGCAGATGATAAGGCTATGTACTCTGCCTCCGTGGAACTGAGGGCAACCGTCGATTGCTTTCTTGACTCCCAAGAAATCGCTCCTCCTGCCAACATGCATACATAGCCAGTGAATGACTTTCGGTTCGTCATATCACTTGCCCAATCTGCATCAACAAAACACTCAATTGCCTTTCCTTGCTTTGTGTAGCATATCTCCCAGTCGATAGTTTTTGCCAAATATCGAAGGATGTGCTTGGCTGCCGCTTCATGCTCGGAATGAGGATCCTTGTTACTGTGAAGACATAAGCCTCCACAACACTGACCACGATACCATCCCCTGAAGGGACCGCCCCGACGGCTTGTTATCTAATTTCATTATTACTAAGAGAACCGACACGAAAGAGAGACACACACTACGGCCACGCAGCGAAAAGAGAACGCAACGAAGAGAACGGCTATACACACACGAAAGAGAGACGCACACGACGGCCACGCAGCGAAAAGAGAACGCAAAGAAGAGAACGGCTATACACAGATGAAAGAGAGCGAAGCGGCAGAGAAGCCGCCGATCGGCCATGCGCCCACGCAGCCGAGGAAAGAGCCGACGGCGAAGCAGAGAATACACAGACGCAGCCGATCGCCCACGCCGCCGAGGCCGACAGCCGAAGCTGCGCAGCCACGAAGCGGCAGAGAAGCTGAAAAAGAAAAGCAGAGGCCTGGCACGGTCCAGCGCGGGCCAGGCTTAGGAGTGATCTCCGAGGGCTGAGCAAGACCGGTTGTGTGGCGGAAGCCAAAAATGTGAAAATAAGCCGCGACCGCGCCGTGTAAAAAAACCAGCTGTGACCACGCGGTGTACAAGACAAGCCGAAGTGACGAGGACCCGCCGCGGGATACCAGGACCCCAAAGGAGGGAAACAAGGGTGAGCCACCTCACGTATGTGAGCTCTGGGGGGGAACAGATCGGTGCAGTAGGCAGGTATAGACAGAACATTCCCGCAGTTGTTTTACATATCCATGCCCACATGTTGTTTAATATAAGTTTTTTTGGCGTTTATTTCCCCGCTGCAGGCGCGGGAGTTTAAGTAGGGAAATGATCCGAAAACAATAAAGACACCAACCTCAACCCACCTGTTTCAGAACATTCGCCCGTAGGAGTCACTCACTCCCCCCTCCCCCTCTCTTCCCTTTTCCCGGGAGGCCCAGCGAAGTGGATGTGAGTCGTGGATCATGCGGCATTCACCAAGCTGGGTTTTTCCTCTCCTGTACCTTTTCCCCCTGGGGACCCGGCGATGCTGGATGTGAGTCGTGGATTCACGCGGCATTTGCAAAGCTGGGTTCCCTCTCCTACACCCTCGCCCTGGGGACCTGGCGACGCAGATGTGAGTCGTGGATCATGCGGCATCTGCTAAGCTGGGCTCCCCTCTCCCATACCCTTCCGATCCCTGATCCAAACCTCTTCTCCCGCCACACCTGACCCCCAACACACGTCTCTGCAGCTCCCAAACACGGCTTCACCCACGCCTCGTGGCCGGGCCAGGCCCGACCGTCCCACGATCCACCCCACGGGCGCGCTTTCGCCACGAGCGGCTCTCCCCTTAGGTCCTCACACAACAAATTTTGCTGTGGGGAAGGACCGGGCCCTGGACAGACTGAGAAGCTGTACCTCGGCCTGAGAACTTCCTTACAGATGGCGCCCGAGCAGGGACCCACGAGGGGAGAGTCGGTGAGCATAGGGAACAAGTGAAAAAGTGAAAAGGGAACCAAGCAGCAGCCCACAATTAAAAGGCAAGACCCACAAAAGCAAAACAGCAAACGATGCTTAGGACCCACGGATCAGGAAAAGCAGCAGGAGAAAGGAAAGGAAAACTTCAAATCAGTGATTAGCAGCCCCAAAATCAGAGTCCCGGCGAATAGCCAGCACCAATCTTTGATCCCTCGACTTATGTACAGCTGAGGCTGGTTTCTCTAATACCCCCCTAGCAACAGCCGCCGGCACGTGTCCCAGACGCGCCGGCGAAAACCACGCGGAAAACCACGCAGCCAGCCACCTACGAGGCAGAAAGAGACGGGGAGAGACGCGAAAAACCACGCGGCCAGCCACCTACGCGACAGAAGGAGACGGGGAGAGACGCCGAAGACACAGCACCGCGTGCCGGGAGAAAATGGCCGCGGACGGCGCCTAAAACTTTGGCACGCGACGGCGACAAAGCGGCACCAGCGACAGAGTAGCCAAGCAGCAGCAGCGGCAGAGCAGAGAAGCAGCAACGAC